GACAATCACTATCTACCAGTAAAAGAAGCCTCTTTTTATGATGGTTGAGAGCTGTATTAATCAGTAGGTTTAAGGATGAGAATTTAGGGAGCAGTTTAATAATATATCTTTTTAGCAAAATAAGTCTATAACCTAGCCAGCCATGATTTTTTGATCCAATTAATGGTACCAGGCATAAGTTTCATCTTATAGAGTGGGTTTTAAATCCAAGGAGAAAATGTTTCTTTCCTCTGTAACTTTTGTGTCACTATTGCAGCATCAGGCATATCTTTCTAGGCCAGTCCTTACTGAAACTTGCAGGACTCACAACTGGGTAAGACTATTGATTACTTTTCTCCCCTGGAAGAGTGCATAGATCCTTTAAGTACTATAGAAACCAGTAAGGAGCTATGAAGCTTTTAAGTCAGTCAATAATTGCTCTTTGATATACACATTAAAAATTGTCATGTATTTGTAAAATCCTTAGTTGCTTCACATGTTAGGATAGCTATTCAAAAAGACAAGTAACAGATTTGATGCAGCTGCTGTTGAGTCATTTCTACCCCCTTGAGTAAGCCTTCAGTTTTATTTCTACAAGTAACCACAATAAAACTCATTGATTCACCAAGTTGGCATTTGTGGTGTTTTTACTTATGTCTGCTTTTGGTCTCCTGTCTAGGATGAATATATATATGTATATATTTTCATATCTCCCTGGGATAGTGTCATACAACACAAAAGCAGTAGGCAAAAAGGTGATGGGACCTGCCTGAGGTATCCTGACTAGAACAGCATCAGAGAGACTGGCTTACCTCACAAAGGGCATGCAGGTATGACCACCTAGTAGGAGAGGAGAGGCAGAGGCCAGAAGCACCTGGTGCTTAAACCCCTACAGATGCCTAACCTGGAACAGGAGCATGACCTGAGTGTGATGGTGGTGGAGAGCAAGCTGGGGCTAGAGGCTGTTTAGTCTTCATTGCAGACAAAGGTACCTCTTGTGGGTAAGAGCAGTTTCTTTAACGCTCAAAGGCCAGCAACATGACTGAGAGCTTGATTTATACATGACACAGAGTTGAATACTCAGGGTAGTCTTCAAAGGCCAGGAAAGTAATCTAGAGATTAGAGAACAGAAAGACTTACTGAACAATTAGTTCAGATTCAAACCGTAATGTATTAAGTAAGAAGCAAGGTGATTAATGGGTCTGGTTAACATGCTTAAGGCAAGTAGGGTGGAGGTGGAGAGGCCACATTGTCTGGAACACTGGGTCACATCTTGTGCCTACTACTGCACCAACTTTGTGCTGATGGAAGGTTAGTGGGACCACAAAGGAGATTTGAGCAAGAGGCATATCAGTAAACTACTTGAACTTACTCGTGGGGAAAATATTCTAAGATGACCAGTTTGTGCTATTGAAGATGGAGTAGGCAAAGCCAGTGGAAGTTAGTAAAAGGAACTTATCATGACACAAACAGAAAATGTATTGTATTCTTTAAGTGGGTAGCAGTTAAAGCCTCAGAGAGGAAGTTTCATGACTGATAGGATGTAGAAGTCTTATGATAGTGAGAGACAGCTACTTGCTCTTATGGACCATTTGTGTAAGGTTCAAATCTAGATAGATAGCTGGGCATCTCACTATCTTACTAAGAAATATATATATATATATATATATACATATATATATATATATATATATCACAGGTTGTCTTTTTTGAGATTAATCATCTATGTCAGATGCTGTAGGTCATTGGGGAATTATTCTCCAGATGTCTACATAAGACATTTTAAGTCACTAGGGGTTAGGGTCAAAGTGGTGTGGCCTGGTTGCTAAAATGTAGGGATTTTTTTTTGCCTTTTTTTTTTTTTTTAAAATAATGGGTGCCTGAATTGTGAATAGTACCAATGTCATATATATTGTGCTTTTTCCTAGACATACAATAATAAAGTTTAATTCATAGATTATATGCAAGGATAATCAATAGCTATCTCTAAAATAGAATAACTTTAGTGTTATAAAATAAAATGATTTCAAACTTATGAGTTGTTTACTTCTGGAATTTTCCATTTGGTACTTTTGGACCACAACTCTCTGTGGATAACCCAAGCCAGAGAGAGACATAATGCTACACTTGGTTTTCACTCACAAGATGGATTCAAGTGGCACAGTTGCCCACTTGCGAAAGCCTATTACATGAGTTGATTGACATTTCCTGTGGAGAGGCTTCATGGGGCAAGAATGATGTTATCAGGAGAACAGCTGAATTACATCTCAAAAATACCCTGGTTATATGTATTACATTCATACTCATTGCCTGATGCATGTTGCTTAGTTCTTTCATAAAATTCTATTTACCACCTAAATGTAGTCTTTCCATTTCTTATAAATTCTGCAGTCTTTTAAACTATTTGTTTGCTTACTGTCTATACTGTATATGCCTTAATTAGTTTGTACAAATCTTAGATATTTCAACTTAATTAATCTTCTCTGATAAAACTGAATAACCTCCAAAGGAAACTGTATTCCAGGTTGTGACTTAGTGTGTGCATGTGTGCTAGATTGAGGTAGGTTAACAGGGTGGGAACAGCAGTAGCTAGGTCTGGAAACCTCCATCATGTAGCTTCTTCTTTTTTTTTTTTTATTTTACATATCGATCCCAGTTCCGTCTCCCTCCTTCACTCCCTCCCTCCTTCTCTCCCTCCCTTCCATACCCCCCCCCTACTCTCCTATTCCATTCCACCCCTCCACAGGGAGGGTGAGGCCTTCCAGGACAGATCAACAAAACCTGTCAAGCATTGACAGGTCTAGGCCCTCCCTCCTGCCTCTAGGTTAAGGGAGTATCCCTCCATGGGGAATGTGCTCCAAAAATCCTTTTGTGCACCAGGGATGCATCCTGGTTCCGCTGTCCAAAGTCCTTTAGACTGCCCAGGCCTTCTAACTAAGACCCATATTCAGGGGGTCTGAGTTGGTCCAATGCTAATTTCTCAGCTATCAGTCTAGGGATTCATGATCTCCCCCTTGTTCAGGTCAGCTTTCGTTGTGGGTTTCTGTAGCCTGGTTTTGTCCTCCCTCTCTGCATCTGGATTCTAGTTCCGCTCAGTGTTTAGCTGTGGGTGTCTGCTTCTGTGTCCATCAGCTACTAGATGAGGGCTCTATGATGGCATATAAGTTAGTCATCAATCTCATTATCAGGGAAAGGCATTAAGGTAGTCTTTCTATTGTAAGTTGGGGTCAGTTGTAAGTCTCTGGACATTTCTCTAGAGTCAGTTTTCTCTTCAAACCTATAATAGCTCCCTCTTTCATGACATCTCTCTCTCTCTCTATTACTCTTTTTCTTCTCTCATCTATTCCTCCCCTGACTCAATCTTCCTAGTCCCACGTGCTTTCTTCTCCTCCCCCTGTCTTTCTCCTAGCTCCCTCTCCACTCGCTGCCCACCCCCAATATGCTCAGGAGATCTTGTTCCTTTCCCCTTCTGTGAGGGACCTTGTATGAATCTCTTAGGTTCCTCCTTGTATCCTAGTTTCTCTGGTGGTGTGAATTATAGGCTGGTGATCTTTTGCTCCATGTCTAAAATCCATAGATGAGTGAGTACATACCATGTTCCTCTTTTTGTGACTGGGTTACCTCATTCAGGATGGTTTCTTCAAGTTTCATCCATTTGCAAATTTCAAGATTTTATTGTTTTTCTTTTTTTTCCCCCTCATAGTAGCATTCCATTGTGTAAATGTGCCACATCTTCTTTATGGCTTCTTAATAAGCCTCATTTTCCTCCTTTGTAAAGGGACTACTCAGTATACAGCCCCCAAGGAGGCACAGAGCCTGAAGGATGGTAAGATCTGAGTTCTAATATTCTGCCCAGTCACTGGGGAGGTTCTGGGGACCCAGTCTTTAAGGCATGTGTGATATTTCAGGTAGGGGTGGCCACATCTGTACCTGGAAAATGGAGAATACATTTTGGCTGAGTGTTTCTCATGCTGCCTATGCACAGGGATCTGATTCAGACATCCCCATCTTGACCTTAAGAACAAGGAGATGGTATCACTGAGCAAAACAAAAGAAGGGTGGGTGAGTGTATGGAAGTGTAAATCTTTCCAGGAAACAAATAGCTGAGTTGGGGAAAATGGGCTGAATTGTAACTGTAGAGTTATTATTATTATTATTATTATTATTGATTTAGTTTTAGTTTTTACATTCCAATCCCAGTTCTCCCTCCCTCCAGTGTTGGTTTTTTTTTTTTTTTAACCTTTCTTTGGAGGAGAGAGAGAAACCATTAGAGATCATTGTTGCTGTGTATACATTTTTTTTTAATTCACAAAGTACCCTTGGAACTGCATGTGTGGGGTCTCCAAGCAATGTTTTACTTCTCTCTAAGCATCAAAGGGACAACATGTGCTTCAGTTAGATTTCAACATTACATGGCACCAGCCTCAGGTAACACATGTTTGACTTGGTTCCATGAGACTCCCACTTTATATGCCAATTATACCTGGAAGGTCCTGAGGTTAGCTCACACATTCTTCCAAACTTGGCCACCAATGGAAGGTGCCCATACCTTCTGACTCAGTTTCTGTTGTTATGATGGGAAATCATAAATTGAAAATAATAGAGGTTAATGTGAATTTGAGATTTGTGGTCTTAAGTACACAGTTGAGGAACCACATCTGATGAGGGCCTCTGCACTGTGGCATACTGTGGTGGAGGAACAAGTGACTGTTCTGGGCAAATAATCTGCATCTTAACCTTATTCAAGATCAAAGGTGAACTGAAAGGTCCAGTCTATTTGATTCTACTGGCAATGAGCTCCATCTTTTTGGTTACCAGAGGGGCCCACCAAGAGCTGACTTATTCATGGCTGAAAAAGCTTGCTACAGACTATGTATGTACTCCTGTCTCTCACTGTCGCTCAGACAGACCTAGGGTTGCAATGACAGAAATGGGAGATGGAAATCAGATATGTATTTCTCAGTAGAGTACAGTATCATAATGATGTTAACAGAGATCCCTTCCTTTTAACCCACAGGAGTGTCAGGAGTTGAGGTGAAAGGATTATAGACAATCAGAGGCAGCAGGGCTCTCACTGGCTACATCCACACCCGCTCTGGAAAGAAAAAAGGCACTTGGTATGTGTCTCCTTGAATGAGGTACCATGGCCAGATTCTTACAGGCTCTGCTATTCCTGGTGATCACAGTGGGCCTTGTGTCTAGAAGAGTCCAAGCCTGGGGCTCACCGAAGATTGTGAGGCCATTCGAAGACATCCCCAAAACCTATGTCTATGTGCAGCAAGCACTCTGGTTTGCCATGAAAGAGTATAACAAGGCTAGCAAGGACCGGTACAACTTCAAGGTGGTTGAAATCCTAAAATCTCAGGAGCAGGTAGGTGCAGTGTCCACTCCTCGCTCCCTTATCCCTTGGTCTTCTTTTGGGGACAGCAACAATTGTCAGGGATAGCTAGTACATAGGAATGGAAACAAGGACAAAAAATGTCTTTATCTAAAATATATAATTTCACTCTAGAAGTGAGAGATAATTAGATTTTTCTATTTATTAGTCTGAGGTGGAGAAGTTTTAACTAACAAACAAGGAGTCTGTATAAGACTGACCTAAGCTCTTTCCATACTTGTGACAGTTATGTATCTTGGTCTATTTGTGAGACTCCTAACAATAGGAACTAAGGCTGGCCCTAATACTTTGACTGGCTCTTGGGAACCTATTCCTCATACTGGATTGCCTTGCTCAGTCTAAATACAAAGGGAGGTGCTTAGTCTTACCACAACTTAAATCTTTTTTTTTCTTTTAAAGTGTAGATCAGAGGTCAAAATGGGCAGCTGCAGATTTTATGCAGTGTTGAATGCTGGTGCACACAAGCTTGTATAGCAGCCTTGAACTACTGCAGCTCCACTAGAACATTTACTTCTCGTTGGTTTGCTTGGTTTTTCATGGCTCACTAATTCAGCTTGCACAGCTTCCTAGGTAGGAGCTGTTCTTCTGTGCTATAGGGAGGACATTGGGGCACAGAAGCACACACTGCTGCATAGCTGGTAAGTAGAAGAGTCAGGACATAAGCCCATATCCTTGTGATCTGAACAGCATGCGACTCTGAGAGGCAGCATGAGGAGAGTGATTTCGGAATCATGCTGGATTGTGGGGACAAGTGCAGCAAAAGGGGGAAGTCAGAGAAAGGCCTCTGCAAAAGGAGTGAAGGGCTGCCTGAGCACCCAAGAACCCCCTTGTCTCCTCCCATGTGCTGAACAATTGGCAGTGTACATTAGGCTCATGATTGGTTGGTGGCCAAGAGAACTGACCCTGCTTGCACCAATATTCTCCAAATTATAATGATTTGACTTAATGTTTTTTTAACTTATAGTGGTGTGAAAGCAATATAGGTTCAATATAAACCTTGCTTTTGAATTTCAAATTTGGATATTTTCTTGAGCTACCAATACATGGTATCATATTTTCTTGTGGTATTGTCACAGCTCCCAGTGAGCCCCATAGTCATTCATAGACAGCTGACTGTCTGGGGTACTATACTGCTAACCTAGGGCACTTGTGATGCTGAATATATTAAATACACTTCCCACTTACAGTATTTAAATATGTGGTTTTCTTTAAGGGGGGGGCACCTGCTTTGCTTGAATGCACAACTCTGGTTCTCTATGAAGGATCCCCTTTTGCTGCCAAGGGATTTTTGGCAATGCCTGGGGTGTTTGTTATTGTCATTAATGGAAGGGCTACTTCTGGTATCTAGTAAGTTGAGGCTTAGAATGCTACTCACTGTCTTACAACAGCCAGGACAAAGAAAGGTCAATTTCAAGATTTCTGGGTGACTGAGGCTGAGAAATTGATCTAACATGATCTATATGAAAGTTCTAGCACCCTGGCAATTGTGTTGAAAATGAAAGCCTGGCTGGGAGATGCTCCAGTCAGTAAAGTGATACAGTACAGGTATGAGAACCTGAGTTTGAGCCCCAGCATTCATGTTTTAAAAAGCTAGATTTGACAATGCTTACCTCTAATGCTACCACTGAGGAGGCAGAAACAGGGTTCTCTTTTGGGCCAGCCAGTATTGCTAAGTTGGTGAACCATAGATCCAGTGAAAGTTTCTGATTTAAAAAAAATAAAAAGGTAGAGGGCCATTGAGGATGTCATATTTTGGCCTTCAGATACATAATCACACACTTATGTACATGGATACATACACACACAATAAAAAGGAAAGGAAACAGTCTGGCTGGTTGCTCCTGAGAGTACTACAATTGTTTGTTCTCTCCTTCCAGGTAGTTTCTTTCCATGTATGGAAAGATTTAGAATTAAAATTTTTCCGTGTGTGTGTGTGTGTGTGTGTGAGAGAGAGAGAGAGAGAGAGAGAGAGAGAGAGAGAGAGAGAGAGGGAGAGAGAGAGAGAGAGACAGAGGCAGAGGCAGAGACAGAGACAAAGAGAGAGGAGAGAACAGAGAGACAGAGACAGAGAAAGGGTATTGGGGAAGGAATAAGGGAGGACATGTTATGTTGTATGTATGGTCAGAGGACAATCTGTGGGACTCAGTCCTCTTCTTGCATCATGTGAATTCTGGGAGTCACACTGGGGCTGTCAAGCTTGATGGTAAGTGATTTTACTCTTTGAGCCATCTCACTGGTCCAATTAAGTATATTTTTGTATTCAAGCAATCACACTGTTGTCTGTTTTGCCACTCAAAATTTCATGGAACTTCATGAAAGTACAGTTAGATATGTCTCAGTACAGCATGCTCATATCCTATCAAATCAGCAGGGTTGGTAATAGAAAAAGTAGAACAACGAATATGCGCTGCACCCAGCATAGCAATATTCTGAATTTGAATCCCTTAGTTAGAGTGTATGTGTAAGATAACAGCAAATTGCCCCTGAGTACTACTAAATCTATTTGTTTATTTATTTATTTATTTATTTATTTATTTATTTATTTATTTATTTGTGGTGCTGGACATTGAGCACAGGGCCTTAGTTAGGCTGTAAACTAAAGACATTTGGGCTCCTGCCAGTGCTGCTGCTGCTGGTGTGTGTTGGTGTCTTGCCATTCATCATAGCAATATTGGAACTCCCTTTTCTTTCCCTTTTTATATTTCCAGCACCATGAAAATGTCTTTTATTTAGTTTAAAGACAATGTGTTTTCTTCTATGAGTGTGGCCCTAAGGGGAGGTTTTATGCTATAAAGAGAATTCTTGGGCATGTCTCACGTCTCTCACAATTGTTTTATTTTTGTTTATTGACACGGTTATTGTGTTTATACATGTACATGGTATATGTATGTAATCATGTGGGTAGGTGCATTCATGTATGTGGGTTCCTGTGTGAGTGCATATTGAGAGGTCATAAGTCAGTGCTGGCGTCTTCTTGGATAACTTTCTGAATCTGGAGCTCATTGATTTTGCTAAGCTAGCAGGCACTTCCCTTGGACACTGATCTGCTTTGAAAGGTCTTGAGTCTGCACAATGATCTCTTGCCTTTTCTTCTTGTGCTCCCTCTTGCCCTTCTCTTCTCCATTGTGGTGGTATGTGGCAAGAAGACTCCTACTGGATATGAGCTCCTTGATCTGGGAATGTGCAGCCTCTAAAACCTCAAAAATTAAGTATTCTACTCTTTACAGATCACCAAATCTCAAGTTACAATAAAGAAATGGTTGGTTTCCACTGGAGAATGCTCTTTGTAATTTCCTGGCTTAATTGCTATTATTTGCTATTTAAAATTTAAAAATTCAGGGGCTAAGGAAGTGGCTCAGTAAAGTGCTTTTCTGCACATGCGTGAGGACCTGACTTCAATCTACAGCATCTACTTAGATGTTGGACATGGCAGTGTGTGTCTGCAACCCCAACTCTTGGGGCAGGGGGCAGAGATAAGCATACCCTGTACCTCTTTTGCCATCTAGTTTAGATGAGCTCCAGGCTCAGTGAAAGTGATTCAAGAAGACATCAACATTGACCTATGACCTCTCAGTTCATGCTCAAATAGGCACCCACATGCACGAATATACCTACCCACATGAATACATATATATACCATATACATGTATGTACACAATAACAAAAACAATCTCAATAGACAAAAATAAAACAATTGTGACAGAGAAATGAGACAGATGTCAAGGTAAGAAGTCTCTCAAATAATCTCAAAACTTCTGCTGGGAGATGTAGTCAAGGAAGAGCAGGAAGATAGTCCACTGGCATACTGACTTATCAAATGGGATACTTGGTGCTGTTTTCTTCTATGAGTTTTAACTGATATGACTCATTGACAGGTCACAGACAGTCTGGAGTACTATCTTGAAGTAAAGATTGCCCGAACAATGTGCAAAAAAACTGTAGGAGAAAATGAAAACTGCTTGTTTCAACATGATCCTAAGATGAAAAAGGTATGTCGCCGACATGAGAGGCAATGTCCCCTGCCCACTGAAGGCTCTTTTGCTTGGTGTCTGGACAGATTTTCTACTGTCTCTGGAAGGACAAGACTCTGTGCTATTTTTGTTTTACTGATTCCATGGAGCAGGATTCACTAGCATCTAGACACAGCATAGGGCCTCTGTGGATTACAGGAAAATGGTTTGTAGCTGGAAGCAAACTTGAAAGGTTGAGCAGTTCCTGTGTTTATGATTTTTTGTGAGGAAGGCTGGTTCCTCTTCCTTAAGAATCAAGGTCAACCATGTGTGCAGTACAATGGGTGTGGTTGATTCACTCTTAGTCCTCTCAAATCAAATCCTGCGACCTGAAAATAGGGATTTGTGTGATTTCCTCTATTTCTTTCATTCTCTCTCTCTCTCTCTCTCTCTCTCTCTCTCTCTCTCTCTCTCTGTGCACATGTGAGTGTATTACTGTGTATTACTGTGTGTTCATATGCATTATGTAATGTATATATGTAAGCACATGTACATTCGAACCATTCTCTACCTTATCTTTTGGATAGGGTCTCTTCTTGTGAACATTGATTGGTAGACTTGCTGGCCACTGACCTTATCTCTGCTCACCCTGTGCTTGGGTTATACAGATGTACAACCATGATTGGATTTTTTACATGAGTGCTTTGGATCTAAAATCAGGTATTTTACTATGCCTTCTCCATAGCTACCTAAGTAACTGTTCTTTTTCTCTCTCTTTTTTTTAGATGGTGTTTTGCATTTTTATTGTTGCATCCAAACCATGGAAATTTGAACTTAAGATGTTGAAGAAACAATGCAAAGATATCTAATCAGTATTCAGCACACCTTGCCACTCTCACTTTTCATCTAAATAAAGATGCTTGCAAGATAATGGACCTCTTCAGCTGACCCACTGACTTCATTAATTTTTGTGTGTGTGTGTGTGTTCTTTGGATCTGGTGCTGAGAGGGTGTGGAGCTATTTTCTGAGGTTTGGTAGCCTTCTCTGGTTGGTTTCTTTATCTCTGAGGAGAGATTATCTGCTGCTAATAAATGGATGCTTTTCTAGCCTAACCAAGTTCCGAGCATACTTTCCACTGTCCACAGTTGCTCCATGGGGTCCCCTTTTCACTCATGAAATGTACACATGTGCATGGAATTAGCAAGCACCTATTAGTCATGTTACCATCTTTGTAGTCATCCATTTACCATTTCAGTTTCTGACCATTCCAGAGAAAGTCAGTTCATACTCAGCTCAAGCATGACAGGCTAAGGAATCCTCTCAAGTTGGTTTTATTTTTACAATCCTAAGATAATGCCAAGGAAGAGTTTGGGAAGATGGAATAAGACAGTTGGAGTCTTGCATTATAGTTCCCTTAGCCTCCAAGTTCTGTTTGTTCCTGAGTGGCTCAAGTCTCAATCTGTCAAAGTTCACAAAGAATTCTCCAATGGTTTTCTGGTTGAGTGGTGTTTTCTCTGTCTATAAACAAATTCTGGGAGGGTGGCTTTGTTGAGATCAACTAGAAGACCAGGTACACTTCACAGCACAGCAGGGTTGTAGCTCATTTGACATGATGGCTAGTCTGGACCTATAGGCCCAGAGAATATATATTACCTCCAAAGTCTGGATCTTAGAGAGATCTAGGTGACACATGGCTTCTGGGGGAACCTCCTAATGTTGCCTGTCTTTTGTGTGTGGTGAGTAAGGTTGCTACCCAGAGTCTCCTGTGCCTCATTTGACTTGATGCTGAGCTGCTCTGAAGGGTTAAATGGTACTCTTTCTGATCTCTGGATATGTGGGGATTATGAACAGAGTGTGGGGCTGTAGAAGAGGAAGTCATAGAATTAGGCTCTCTCCCCTGAGAGCAGGCTGTCTCTACTTCTTCTAATGGCTTCTTCATGGTCTCAACCACTTCTCACTGCTGTGCACAGTTTTTCTATCTGGGAGCAGCCCATAGATTTTCCTATGGGCAGGGTATATATGCTTTGGAATGCTAGCTCTTAGAATGTTTGTCACCAAGTCTTGACTTCTGGTTAGCCATGACGGGGTGATGTTCCTGCTGACTGTCCCCAAATCTGGGGTACATGTACCCGATAAGATAGTGCATGGAGACCAGGGTTAGTGTCCATGTACAGAGCCAGTTCCTGACTTTTCAGTCACTGTCACATCACACAGAATTCCCACTGGGGGAAGCTCAGGCATTTGAACTCAACCTAGCAGTGTGCATGGGGCTATGGAAATGGTGCTGGGGAGGTAGGAACTTTGACTTTCATAGAGGGAAATTACACAGACCTGAACATTGTTCATTGTGTTTCTTGGTTCTGCACAGAAGTGACCTGGGTCCCAGAAAATGGGGTCTCATGTTCTCAGTTCACTTCTATCTCATCCATTCACACCCTGAGCTCTGCTACACCATGCCATCTCCATCAGGTGGTACACTATATTTGGGTCAGCCAAATCCAGTGCTTTTATTGTTGGGTTATCCATCTCTGCTCTAATTTTTGATATGAATTCTTTTTTGCATATATGTAGGATGGTATTGCTGTATGCATATGTACATTGATTGTGTCATGTGAGTACACAAGTATTTCTTCTATCAATATCTACCTTCTTTTTTTGAGGCAAGGTATCACTGAACCCAGAGCTCAATGATTTGGCAACACTTTGCTGGCCAGTGAGCTCCAGAAATCCTCTTGTCTCTGTCTCCTCATGGCTAGGATCACAGGCATGTGCCACCATGACTGGCTGTGGGTACAAATTTGGATCCTCAGGCTTGCAAAGCAAGCCGCTTACCAATTGAGCCATCTCCCCAGGCCCTTAATGCTCATTCTTATTTTTAAAGATGAGTTATTTTCAGGGAATTTAACCAATCAGCAGCACATATGTGCTGGCAAAATGTCTCATTCTGACCTTGTTCAAAAGATCAGCTGGTCTCTAACCATAAGGATCATAGGACTAAGGAGGAGTCCTGTTTCATATCATCGGGACTAAAATACATATCCTCCTCATGGGAGTACTATTCAAATATCCCTTTAAATTTGTCCTAGGTGTTCTAAGTCTTGTGCAAATGTGTATTGTGGACTAGGGAGGAGCAGCAGATAGAAAGGTCTGTGGACCTGGAAAGGACAGTTTCAGGTCAGGCAGAGCTGATAGCAAGGGGATATGAGAGAACCCTCAAGGCTGCACCCTCTCAGCTGATTTTACATTTACTCATTCCGAAGGCCATGTGGCTGTGGAATATGTTGCTTCCCACAGGCTTAGAAAGACACATTTGACTGAAGCCACCTGAAAACTATTCTCCAGAGAATATCCCCTTGTCTTTCTCCCAGGGAATGTTGCTTCTGTCTTCCCTGTGCCCCCTGGAAAAGTAGCTTTTCATTATCTGTGTCCTGAAAAAGTAGCTCTTTGCTGTCTTTCCCCTTCTCCACTGAAAGGAGGCCTGTTCTGTACTAATAATTAACCACAGAATCAACGTTCCTGGGAAAGGAACTAAAGGGATGTGAGTTCCTGTGACTTTCAAATCAGCATTTTTTTTTTTTTTTTTGAGAGTCACAGAAACCACCATGTCCTACCGATAGAGCAGAGTTCCGGAAGTTTCTTACCACTCTGCTGCCAGCCATCTTATCTGAGATGTCTTTTAGACACCATGTACATTTGTTTATTGTGTATGTGTGTGTGAACACATGTGTGTATGCCTTGGGGAGTCTGTTGTCCTCCCACCATATGGGTTCTGAGGATCAAACTCAGGTCCTCAAGGCTGGCAGCAAGGCCTTTGCCTGCTGAGACACCTTGCTAATTTCCTATGCAAGTCGTAATACCTACAACATCCAGGCAAGTGGTCTTTGTTGTCATAGTCTCCATCTTTTCTGTTTGTCAGTTCTCTAGAAAGTCTTGATCCTTGCCTTAACAATTTGTCCAGGCTGGCCAGGGTGTGCTCAGTCTAATTCCACAGAACTTGGATCTCTGGCTTTCATGCATGTTCCCCACTATAGGTAACAAGGCTGAGACATTTGGCCAGTTCTGCCCATTTAGTCCTCTTATCACAGAAAGAATATATCTTGTGAGATGCTAGTGAAGAAAGATCATGGTTCTTCTTCTGAACAGTGGAACACCTCTCTCTTCCAGGTAAAGGAAGAAACATGAGACAAGATGTACCCAGGTAGAGACCAAGGTACAAGAAAGGGCCTGCATACTCATGCTCATAGGTTCCCAATGGATGCAGCTACCACGGATAACTGAGGTGCTCTGATATGTCAGAGGCTACAGAGACCATAACTGGATATTCGGAACAAGTGTTAAGCACACTATTTCTGGCAGGAATAAAATAAAAAGGTAAACTATTTTGGTGTTTGGAGCCATATAACTCAGCGATACTCCTGTGTCATGAGAACACTTATGAGCAATGTATAAACAAAGGCGTGTAATTGCAGTTCAATAAACCGCATTAGTACACCAGATGGTGGGCTGGAAATTGCTCTTGGTACGTAGTTGACAGTATCTGACAGTAAAAGACAAAGATGGGAATAAACTATATGCTCCCATTGCAAATCAGGGAGGAAATGGGCCCCACCTCCAGGAAGGAGATAGGTAAAGGCAGTGTGAGGTCATAGCATGGGGCCACTCAACATAAAGAGGCGTGAAGACAGCAAAGTTTATACTAAACAACTTGTTACCAAGGCACATGAGAATCCACTAGTAAAGAGATCATTGCTGAGAATACTGAGAGGATGAGGAGGAAAAAAAAAATCAAAGGCTAGACAAAGCTCAAGGGAAAGAAAGCAAAGTGACAGAGAAAAAAGTGCAGGCCAGGAACAGAGGAGCAGTGCAGGGTAACAAGGGATGGACACTGAAGGGTGCAGATGGAGTTGCAAGGCCTTTCTGGGATGCTTCTGGGTACGCAGTTGGGCCTCTGACTCTGGAGAGAGAACACAGCATGACATCATGTGGTACTGTGACATCAGCAGGTGCTTGGGCCCTGGATCTGAGGGACTCTTGCCAAATAAGAGCCATACGGCAAAGACGGAATGGATTGGTACATGCAGCGTGTGGAGAGGGTAGAGGTGGGTAGGCAGAGGCACTGGCTTAAAGAATGACAGCAATAAGGATGACACATGAAGGGAACTAATTGATCAACTGTTAATAGACCTGTTGTTTGGTATTAAGTTGGGGGACAGAAACAGGGGAATCCTAATTCCTGATCTCATTTACATGGGTGACATTTAGGGAAGCAGAGCGAATGCTTTGTGAGTAATGTGCAAACAATTTGAGCTCCATGAATGAAGAAGGGACTGACCCAAAGGGTCCAGTACTTGATCCCAGCTTTTAGCTCCAGGCTCTAAGCACAGCCATGATGCAGTGTGGTCTCCTAGAATCCAGTGAGCTCCATCCTGTCCTGGTTCTGATGCCATGGTCATCTTCTCCTTACTCTGCTAGCCTTGGGGGTGGTTAGCTTCTTATGTACAATCCCTTCCTTCCCGCTGGGTTTAGGATAAGCTTTTCTATTTCTCACCAGGCACTTGTTAGTCTGAGTCAGTGAGTAGCCTCCTATCCCTTGTCCCCTGTCCTTGTCTAAGAAACACACACAAGTTCATGTGTGCGCATGGACAGTTTTCTACTCTTGTGACTAGTAGCCTACTTGAGGTTAGAATTCCTTTTTTGTTAGGATGAGATAGTTGCTGCTACAAAATGAAACAAGTCCTCCCACCTCAGCTGAGAACAGAAAGGCTTTCTTGGACTCATGTACATACAGCTCAGCCCAGGTAGTCTCCTTAGAGCTGCTCTGTGTACACCTATGAGACTTCCTCCTTCCAAGTCCCGCTCTAGAACAGGAAAAAGGTAGAGATGGGAAGGGGAGAACATGAAGCACCAAACTTCTGGAGATATATATTTCAATAACTAAAAATATGGTGATGGTAAACATTTTATATTATTTGCAAAAGATAAAAAGAACTTTATACTCCCATTGGGTGGGGTAATTTACAGTCTGTAAAACTACTTAAACAGGTCATCTGACTGTACCTGCCCAGGCCTCTCTGGCTTCTGTCCTACTCAGCTTTCTTACTTTCGGTGTTTGGGAAATGAAGGATGTATTAAACTCTACCAACATGGCTGAGGCTTGCTCTGGTCACTGGTTCTATTTTATATTCTAACTCATTGATAGGTGTATGTGAGGTGATGACTATGGTAACTTCTTTCTCTGCATCTTTGATTTTTTGCTTTTTTGTTGTCGGTTTTGAGAGCAGAGTCTTAAGTACACAGCCCAGGCTAGCCTTGAACTCATAGTCCTTTTCTGTCCCCTCTTCCTCAGTGCTGGGATTACAGGCATGCATTGTGCTGTAAATTATTTTAACTTCCTAAATATTTCTCCTAATTTCAGTCTGTGTCTGTCTTTTCTCAGATACCCTTCCCACTAGATGTGACTAAGTACTTTTACTGTAGTTACTATTGTTGATGAGTTTTTTCATTGCCTTTTCACTAGAGGCATTTGGAAGATATGTGGTCAGCAATAAAAGATGGTGTGTGTGTAAGTTCATGTGCATGCATGTATGATTGTATACATGCACACAGAGACCACAGCCGATGTCAAGTGTCTCTCTATCACTCACACCTATTTCCTTGGACATGGTCTCTCACTGAACTGCCTGTCCATTGTCTTCACATCACCAACTTCTCTGCCAGTAGTTGGACCAAATCTATGAAGCAACAGGGAAGTGATGCAGGACAGTGGTCTTCATTCTTAGCCTAATTCCATAGGCCCCAGGCCACTGGTGCTCAGGCAGGCTTTGAGTGAGCATATCTCATGAGCCGCTAGCAGCTATCCCTCCTCAGCCACAAAGACTACTCTTGTCTCTTATCCTTTCCAGCTCAGTTGCTCCTTGCCTTGTTGTTTTCTACTAACATGTATGGTGTTGTGTCTTTGATTTAGCATCTGAATCTGCAGCATTCTGACAATAGTTCCTCTGTCTCAATGAAGATCAGGAGCAGATGTGGCTGGCCCACATAAGAGGATCCTCTTTCTTCCCCCTTGGTTGATTCTCTCCAGTACATCCTGTTGGTGTCCTGTGTTCTGCTTTCTGGTACTGGAGGCGATTTGTTGTTGCCAAGTGTGGTGGCACTCCAGCACTCAGGAGGCAGAGACAGGCAGATCTTTGAATTCAAGGCCAGCCAGGTCTACACAGTGAGTTCTAGGATAGCTATGGCACATGGAGAAACCCTGTCTCAAAACCAACCAAACAAAAACAAAGCCCAACAACAACAACAACAAAACCTTTGTTGGAGAAAACAACAATAGGAGTGGGTGTAAATCAGAGAGGCAACTGAGAAGGTGGAGTCTGTGCCCAAGTTGAAGAGATTATGGGCTAGAGTTGTGCCAGATAAACTCCTGTGGGACTAAAGGCTAAGACTGGCAAAGCAGTGGCTGTAGAATTCTGACACTATGTCCTGTCCAGGGGAAAGGAAAACATTCCCTCGCGCCATGCTGCTACTTCTCCTAAGCTTCCTGTTCTCCATCACTCCTGTCTCGAAGACCAATGAGGAAAACATCACCTTTGCTTATTTTCTTCCCACAGTGGAGTTTGCGGTGAACACATTCAACCAGAAAAGTCAGGAGGAATACGCCTACAGGGTAGAGCATGTCCTGAGTTCCTGGCGGGAGGAGGTAAGTGACCACATCCTCAGCTGCCCTGACTGAATGTACCTGCTCCTCAGTGAGGGATAGGAGAGGGCAATCCACCCCTTTTGCAGGTTAGACATAACCTAATTCAGTTAGTTTCGATGGTTTAACCTATGTTTTCCTTACAAATTCTTTTAAAATTGGATCATTTGCTATCCACAAACCAGATCCATATGCCATTTTTATTGCTTTGAAACACTTTAAATGAGTAAGTTTAGAATGAACATTTCTTTTTTAAAAGTTTTTTGTTATATTTCATTCATTCAGTGTGTGTGTGTGTGTGTGTGTGTGTGTGTGTGTGTGTGTGTGTGTGTCTGTTGATATACACAAAGGTCAGAGAATAAACTGGGGAGTTGCTTCTTCCTACCACTGCGTAGAAACTGAATATTGAGCTCAGGATGTCAGGTTTGGTGGCAAGTGACTTTACCTGATGAGCCATCTGGGCACACATTTCTGTGTAACTACCTTGCACTAGCCGGTTGTGTCTCTAGAGCTCGCAGAGCAGATATTTCTAAGCAGATAAAGCCACTTACTAAGTAAAAGATTCACACACAAAAAAGTGCCTATGGATGAAGCTGAAAAATATGCCAGACACAAAATTGAAAATAAGCAAAACAAAACAGTAATTGGTAAGAATGGACAGAGTGAAACAAAAAGAAACAGGATTCACAGAGCACAGAGAGCCACTATCTCTCTTGAACACCTGACAGCTCCTCCTCTGAATTACCCTGCTCTGGGCACCTGGCTGACCCACTCTGCTCACGGACCACATCAGACCCTCTTCATCATCCTATAATGCCCCTACAGAATGTAGTCAGGGTAGCAATGCTCATCTTCAATGCTGTATTTATGGCCATGGGGGGAAGGGCAGTCTATTCCTCCTTCCCTGGCAAGGGGAAGGCAGAGGGGCTCCAGCCCTGTCCAGTGTTGAGGCATCTGAGGTCCCTGTGCAGCACCTAGCTGGTTTTCAGAAGGACATACTGTGAAAGGAACAAGGCTGCTCCTGAAACACTAACCTTGGCTGGACTTATAATGCAGGTATTGTACTTGCAGCTCAGCTGAGAAAGTATCAGGGGATCTGGCTCCATGTCTTAGGGCTGACTATCGAGCCAACACTGGTAGAGCCACTACCCTCCCAGAACATACCCTGTGTCCTCTTGGAGTGCAGGTGTAGGTTCGGATGTCTGCTGAGAGTGAAGTCTGGGTTTCCTACGGCTGAATGTGGGTTGCAGGGCCTGGGGATAATACACTCAGCCTTGACTTCTCTGCTTTACCAACTGGTCCCTACTCTTGGTTCTTAACTCTCTACTCTAGAGATTTCCTCCCTGGATTCTGTCCTTCATAGAGCAGATGCTAGGTCTCGAACACCAAATGGAAGTGAATCTGGATCTCTTCACACACTGAACATAGTCACAGAACTTCTTAAGAGCCAGGAAGAGTCTGTTCACTTTAATCTTTTTCTGTCTGCAGGTGAATTTTCCTACTGTTTACTCCATGAAGCTTCAGCTGCGTAGAACCCTGTGCAAGCAATTTGAGGAAAGCCTGGACACTTGCCCCTTTCAGATGAGCTACAGTCTGAATAATGTGAGGCTTGATACCGGCCTTCATAGTTTTTACAGATGTGGATGCTACAGAGACAGGGTGGGACAGTAGGAACTGGGGCAGCTAGTCATATGGCATCTACAGTCACAAGTAGAAGAAAATGAATGCATGAAAGTTTCTGCTACTTGGCTCACTTTTTCCACTCTAATACAGTTCAGGTTCCAAACCCGGGGAATGGTGCCACCCATAGTAAGCTGGGTCTTTCTATAATTAATGTCATTCAGACAATGCCCGACTGATATTCTCACAGGCCAGCCCGATCTAGGCCATCACTCACTGAAATGCTCTTCACAGATGGTTCTAGACTGTGTTAGGTTGACAGTGAAAACTAACCATCACACTGGCTAATTCTGACAGGGTGCTTTCTGCCATTGCTGTTAGGTACGTGAATCACACAAGGACATCCTAGATATTCTTCTAGAGGTCACTGTCTACTGTGCATGTGTGGAAACAAGTACCCAGGGTTGACACAAAGCTTCATATCAAGATTCTGGTCAACTCTTGCCCAGGGTTCAGGTTCACTGGGTAGTCATGTCTGAAGGCCCTTTTTTCCTTCTCCTACTTATTGGTCCATGGAAGGGAAAAGGTAAAATGGATGGTTTTTGGAGCACATGCCACAAATGTCCTTCCCCTTCTCCTTTCACTGTCTTCTCTTATTCTTTTCCCACAGACCTTCACATGCCTGTTCACTATCGGTACCTTTCCCTGGGTAACACAATTCAAGCTCTACAAGTATGTGTGCTTATAGTTCCTCTGACCAGAGTCATCCATGGACTGGCCCTGCACTTCTCTCTGCATCCATGAAGAAGTTATCCTTGACAGGGCCCTATTCTCTCATGTTCCTTGTTTTGTAACACTGTGTAGTGTCAAGACTGGGAGTGTGGAGCAATTCATATTTCTTTTGTTTCATCATTTAGAATAGCTCATTAAATACTGCATTTCTGAACACATTCCATGCATGTTTTTAGAGGAAGCACCATGAGCTCGGGGTAGGGGCAGTTTGAAGTTCCTGGGGTGGGGGGCAGCAGGAGATATAAGTAAGATGTATCGGAATTGTTATCACACAAGTCCAGAAGCACAATGGCTATAGTCTCCAAGGGTATCAAACATCTAACATGGGGCACAGAATGGCTACAGTCTCCCAGGGTATCAAACATCCAAGATGGGGCCCAGGCTGAGCTTCTGCCACTTTTACCCCAGGACATGTGGTCTCCAGAGTGGCTTTCATGCCACATCAAGTAGAGTTTAGATTTGCTAAAGAATTGCTGATTCCTTAATTTCTTAATCAAGCAAGGTGTCCACAAAATAGTTAAGACTGTAGAACTTGAAAAACTCAATTCCCAAGATTAGTAACAAGGACACTTAAATGCTTATTAAAAATCATTGGACTGTGGGGGAGAGAGAGAGAGAGAGAGAGAGAGAGAGAGAGAGAGAGAGAGAGAGAGAGGAGAGAGAGAACAGTTAAGAGCACGTACTGCTCTTACAGAGAACCTGAACTTGAATTTCAGGGACCTATTCTGGATTCAGTGGGCACCTGAACTTATATCTGCAATACCATGCCAAAACATCATTAAAAATAAAGTAAATCTTAAAATAATCTCTGCGTGATATCAGCTAGCTGGTGGGAGAGGTTGGTCGTATTTATCTATAGAAACCTCGATTTGAGCAAGTGTGTGCACATGAACATATCCTCACAAACTTTCAGAAATCAGGTGAGATTTTAGTACCTAACGTAAGCACAGAAATGAAAAGAACAAACTGACCAGGAAAGACAGTTTTACATCACCGTTTCCAACTGTCCCCATCTTCAGGAAGCAGACACCCTCTCTGATGGTGAGAGAAGACTAGAATCTGCTTTGGATGCCAACACTAGATTTGTCTTGGTGACTCCCAGGTACAGCCAAATTATGCTGCATACCAACTTCAGTATCAAATGGGACTGTAGCCCTACCCTGAGTAAGGATGGTTTTATTGGCTATAGAGTCTAAGACAACCCCAGGAGAATCTGGCCTACCATATCAACTAGGTTAGTCCTAATGAACTGGGCTACAAACCTTCTCCCATTTCTAGGCTGTTCCCCATGATCTAAGCTTTACCTTGGTCCCAGGAGAACCAGAATCATGGGCCCATCATTTTCCAGCCAATAGGGGCTGGACCTATCCTGGTAGATCCCAGGTCAAACTACACATTTTATAGTGTCCCTATAGACTGTTCCCCCTGGTGTATCTTTTGTGTCCCGGATTACCAGCAAAGAATTACTAGGAAGTTTTATACAATATTCCAGGTATTGCAGGTAGGAAGATATTTGCAGATAGTGGATTTATGTTACCATCGAATTGTTATTTTTCACTATATTATGAATTTTGAGAAATAGTTTTTGTTTGTTGTTAGATTTAAGCAATGGATTGTAATCTGAAAGTAAAACTTGAGAAAAGTTAAGGTGCAATTCAACAATCAGTTGCACTTGGAGCATAAGTAAAGACTGTCATGGAGGTACTAGAGTGTCTTGAAAATCAGGAAGGGCTTTGGGTTGAACAAGTCATTTTCTGTATTCAGTCATGTTTCTTATTTGGGGTATGAGTGTGAGATCCCAAGTACAACACTAGTCTGCCACACAGAAATAGCACGAGCTGAGAGGGAAGGGGGCATATGTTTCATGAGGGCACTAGAAAGAATTGTTCTATAAGCTTGGTAAATGGTTAGTTTCTAGGATATCCTCTGCTTCTGGGGAAAATAAACTCTTGGTTAGTATTACCTTGAGGTCTTCAATGAATGTCAGTACTGAGGATCTTCAGGGGCCTCCAGTGGAGAGATGAGAACCTAGGGTTTAGGGTCCTAAAGTTTTGCTGTAGTGTGAGCGATGAAACAAACTCAGTTTGGTTCTTTCCAGAAGTTTGGTTTTGTTTTTCTGTGGTGCTGGTGCTCAGTCTCTGCTCATTATGCACGATAGGCAGGCACTAGGTCACACTCCTTGCTCTTTTACATTATCTTTTAACATCCATTTTCCCAGTGTGTTGTTTCATACCCAGCATCCAGATTCTAGCCCATGAAAGGTCTGGCTTTCATCAGCTGACACACAAAAAAGCTTCTTTTGGCTGGTGAATGTATGCTCTAGCAAATTCATTAAAGCCTGTACTATGCAATGCCTCATACCTGGGCCCACTCCCATTATATGCTGGATGAAATATAATTTAACGTGGGGCATCTCTAAGGAGATGTTCAAGAGAGGTGAAGGAGTTCACCAGGAAATCAGTGGAGTCTGCTATGAGGAGCTCATCCATGGCTTCCAACTACATCAGAGGACAGTGAGCATTATGGGCACTTGATCAAGTAGATCCTTATTATTTGCTGCAGCCTCCTTAGGATCTCACATCTGACAAAAACTAAGACAAAGAAAACTTTTAGGTAAAATAAAATTCATAGCCTTCATTTGGGCAGGGAAGCATATGCATGTGCATCAGGTATGTTCAATGACAAAGCTGTGTTCCAGCATTGTCTTCATTAGGGTCACTATGGCTGTGATGAAACATTATGACCAAAAGCCACTTGGGGTAGAAGTTCATTTGGCTTATATATTCAAAGTCCTAGTCTGTTAAAGGAAGTCAAAGCAAGAAGTCTAAAAGGGTAGGAACTGGAGAAAGGAGCTTTTGCAGAGGCTCTGAAGGGGTTATTGCTTACTGGCTTGCTCAATCTGTTTTCTTATAGAACCCAGAAACACCAGCCCAGTGACAACATCATCCACAATGGGTTGCTTCATCCTCCACTAATCACCATTTTTAAAAAATGCCCTATAGCCAGATATTATGCAGGCATTTTCTCAGTGGAGCTTCCCTCCTTTCAAATGACTCTCACTAGTGTCAAGTTGACCCAAGTTCTGGGAGGTGGTGGTGCACACCTTTAGTCCCAGCACCCAGGAGGCAAAGACAGAAGGATCTTTGTGAATACAAGACCATCATGGTCTACAGACCAAGTTCCAGGACAGTCTTCAAAGCTACAGATAAACCTTGTCTTGAAAAATGAAAACCAAACAAACACAAACAAAAACTAGCTACCATAAGCGTCATAACCAGAAAGATTTTACAAACTGAAAGGGGAAGAAAGCTGAAGATATGTCGTATATGGATAAATATCTGATCATATGTGCACTATGTGATAGGTGGGCCTTTCTTATCATTAGATGACTTGTTCTTCTTCATCTGGAACCTTCTGAAGCCCTGACCAATGCCTCTCCAGATGAGTGACTACTGCTTGTGGTGTGGTTTGTATTGACCCTAGGATGTTTCCTAAATATGGGCTACTCTAAACATGGTGTGTGGAGTGGAAAGACCACTGTTCCCAGTAGCTGATGAGAAATGAAAATATCCTGGCTCTTGTTAGTAACCTGGGAGTGGGAGAAGATAATCATTGGGTTATAATAAGCATCTAGGGAATGATAGTCTTTCTAAAGTTAGGTGTCTTAGTCACTATTTTGTTGCTGTCAAGAGACCACCATGAAAACTTTTTTAAGAGGAAGCATTTTTAACTGGGGGTGTGCTTATAGTTTTAGAAGCTTAGTTTGTTATCGTCATGGCAGGGACCATGGCAAGCATGATGCTGGAGAAGTAGTTGAGAGCTACATCCTGATCCATAGACAGACAGGAAGGGAGAGGGAGGGATGGAGGGAGGGAAGAAAGGAAGAAGGAGGAGGTGGGAGAGACAGAGAGACAGACTGGGCCCAGCATAGGCTTCTGAAATCTCAAAGCCCACTCCCAGTGACACACTTCCTCCAACAAGGTAATACCCACTCCAACAAGGCCACCTGCTAATCGTTCTAATTCTATTAAAGAGTTGCACTCCCTGGTGATTAAACATTCAAATATATAAGCCTACGGGGGTCATTCTTATTCACACCACCACAGTAGATATAGATAAATAGTGGACACATACTTGTGGAAAGGAATCGAAAGTATTATCTGAAAAGAGTACGTTATTTAACATAGAGTGTATGCAAGTTTCTTTGTAGATTCTAGAGTGTAGCTCATGGAGATTTATCCTGAAAGAAAACTTTATGAGTTCATATGAAAATTTCTTTGTAATTTGATGGCCTGAAATTGGCAGGCTGATATCTGCCTCCTTTCCCATGGTGTTGTGTGGCCCCCAGACTTGACCTCTATACACCTGCATTGTACAAATAGCCTGCTGATGGAATTCTTTCGATGCTAAACCCTGAGGCAGATGGGAGAGATGCAGGTGCTTTCGATGGGATCAGTACTTGCAAACACCAGGCACAGGTGTACACCAAGGGTCTCCCAGTGTCAGAGGCAGACAACTATGGCCAAATGCCAAACTAATCACCACTTACTTCTCAACAGTCTTAACTGGAAGACTGCCTCTATGATAAGTTTCCATTCAGTCTATGATTCCCAAGAAATGAAGAACATGAGGACAGTTGGCAAGGATATCAGCTACTCCAAAAGGTAAGAATAGTTATTCTATGGCTTCTTTGGAATGCATGCTGGACCCTGGTTCAGGTGCCTCAGATAGGACGTAGTGGCCTCTGCTTCATCAGTGTTTCTCAAATATTAAGTGTAATATACCCTCTGAAGTTTATGAAATGCTGCTCCTTTTACAAGTGCAGAAGTTCCTAGGGTTGTCCTGATATTTAAGTGCCAAGGAGATGCTGTTGCTATTCTCTGTGTGGAGATCTTTTTCTGGATAGCAAGACTACAGTCCTCCCATTGTCTATCAGCTTCAGAGACCTGGGGAATGGCATGTGGGGAATCTCAAGAGCAAAGATCATCTATCCTGAGAAGGACATCGTGTTTGCCTTCCTCCCTAGTGTACATGGGATGACCTAGTGGAGACAAGTGCTGACCATCATTTTTCTCTGAGCACATGGGTCATGTCATGAGACCTCAGTTCAGATGGGTCTAGTTGTGCTATGTGGGCCACCTCTTAATGTCTATAAAAATGGAGGATGCCACTATGGTCACCAGGCTATCTTGTTGAGAGAACTCCATTTAGTGCTTAGCTTCCACTCTCATGTTCATAGCCCACAAAGGTTATTAAACTTGCTGGTGTTTAATGAACTATTCTATATGATGAATCTGTACAAAGAGAATTTTCTAAAATGCCAGGACATGAAACCCCAGACACTTGCAAGAAGCACAGAACTTCTTAAGCCCGTAGTTGCCGCTTCCTATGAATGGCAGATATCTTCAGAAAAAGGAGCAGGCTTGGACCAGTGCTGTGGGTAGTTCCTTGTGGTGGGTTCCAGTCATGGAGGCCCCGTAGGACAAGTAATTTTCAACATGTTGAATTGTTTTGAGCGTGGGGTGCTGATGGTGAAGGAGCAGATGTACATCTAAGGGAATAATAAAAATGAAACAGTGGATGGAGGAGGCTCAGGAAGCCTGTGGTTTGTGGTCTGGACACTGTTTACTCAACCTTATCCCTTTCTTGTCCAGCAGCTGGAAGACTTTGATCTTTGATCTACAGGGGTAACCACCAACTCAAACTCTGCTTGAGTGGTACGCTGTCTGCATTTGGGCTTCCTCTTGATCCAGAGTCATTTGTGTTATTGTCCTTATCTAATAAGTGGCCCCCAGAAGAACTTCTGGACTTTCAGTGTGTAATACAAGCTCCCAGGAACAGTAGGGATGCTCTGTCCCAAGAGTTGACTACTGTCACACTTAAGTCATTAGTTAAACTATTAATTGTTCTTGACAGGGGGTCTGGGTGGGGCTGGCCTAAGAATTAGGCTGCCCATTTTCTTGTCCCCCAGAAAAGGTCCTAAAGTGAAGTCAGTGGGACCCCTTCTCTCATTCCCCTTTCAAGCTGTGTGTCAGCGAAGGGTCTCTAATATAAAATAGCATTCACTAGGCTCTTTCCCCTGAATCCAGGGTATCACAACCAAACAATGAGCAGTTGCTACTTAGGTCCAGGATGTGCAGGACCAAAGAAGACATAAGCATTATGAGGCAATGACATGCAAGGAATAGGCAGCTACTATTGGGAGTGGGCAAGAGTTGGGGGCAAAGCTCGGCCAGGTCTTTATAGCTTGGACCTAGGCAGCCTACCTTTTGGGACTCTTTCCCTATTAAGGCTTAGGAAGGGATTCTAGAAAGTTTGCCACTGGTCCCTCCTTGGATCTCTAAGCACGTCTCTGCCATCTGCTCTTGCATCCTCCTGAACCCCCTGGCAGCACCCACAACTGTGAAAGGGGTGGATGCTAGTGTCTGGCCTTACATTGTCCAGTTCAGGACTGTCTTGAAAAGGGCAGGTATCTAGGCTGTCCTCGAATTTCTTACAGATGGTCCTTCTCAGCCTCAGCTTCATGAAGAAAGTTGCTGATAATTTTTCCTGGAGACAGAAAAAAGACTAAAGTGAGCATACCTATTCATAGATGGGCCTCATGTCTGTGGTCAATATAAGGCTAGGAATATCTCCCAAGTTTGAACCTTCTCCAAGGCCTGGCATCTCTTTCTTGGAGATGAAAGTCACAGGCTGAGTCATATACCACTAATACATCCTCTACCTCATGTCTCCACATTCTGCTCTACCAAGTGAGGCCTAGGCTTCACGCTCAATAGGTGCCTGAACCAATACATGCATTCCTAGAGGACAGGCTCTGGGAGAGTAGTGGTTCTACTGATAACTCAACTCAAAGAGATTGAAGACCAAAGAGTATATCTGCAGCATACTGTCACCTGGCCTACATCAAGAAAATGCTTGTGTTTCAATGCACCACAGAGGATTGGAATGGTGGCTTTATGGATAAGTTTTTATAGTGTGTGTTCTGAAATCTTCCTCCTGCTTCCTTCCACTGTATCTCCTCATTCCTTCCCTAGTCTCTCACCCTTCCCATCTTTTCTTTCCACATGGTCAACCCTACCTCTAGCAAAGCTGTAGTCATAGCTCACAGGTGAGACTCTAGCACAAGAGAGCTCAGAAGACAGGCCAGCTAGTGCTCTGCAGATGTTCCCAGAGGTTTTGGTGCTGTGCAGAGCTGAAACCCCTCTACTTTTCCTCTGCTGAGCAAGGAAAAACAAAATATCCCTCAACCATGACTAAAATGTGGCATTAGGAGATGGGTATTGACATCTTGAGGACATTCTGTAGGCATCTCATCACCAGGGAGCATTTTAGGGTGAGGAAGATGGTTTGATGTGGTCAATGAGCTGAGTGAAGTCTTTGAGGGGGCCAAGAGTAGAAGGGAATGAAGAGATGGAGCTGAGCTGGCAGGTGGTTCTCAGAACAATTAGTTTGTCCCTGGCCACAAGACAGCTGGCGACTTCTCACTGACTACTCGTCAGTTTCTGTTCCTTTCACTTTTCTAATTTCACAAAATCTTGTTTGTGGTGTGTGTGTGTGTGTGTGTGTGTGTACTCGGAGCCAAGAGTGACTCCAGGAGTTTTTCCTCAGTAGCTCTTCTCTTTACTTTTTGACACAGGACATCTCACTGAAACTGCAGCTCAGCTTGACTAGGCTGGTCAAAAACATGCTGTCTCTGGACCTTCCTGTCTCTGCCTTCCCAGCACTAGGATTAGGGGTGTGTATCCCAGAGTCAGGCTTTTCACATGGGTGATGGGGATCCCAACTCTTGTCATCATGTTTGTCTAGCAAGTGCTTTACTGAATGAGCCATCTCCCCAGACCTCCATTGCTTTAATATTTGAATATCTTTGCATGTTGTCCATGTCCTCTAAACAAAATCTGGCCATGATCCTGGAAGCAACTGTAACTGAAATCATTTGATGAACAACAACAACAACAAAATAGACAAGTAGAAAAGATATGAGTGGGGAAGAAAGAAATAAGCAAGGGTAGAAGGTGGACAAGAGCAAGAGAAAGAGAGAGAGATGGGAAGTGAATACTATGAAAATACACTATCTACATTTATGAACTGTCATTAAAAAGCCTATTATTGTGCATAACAAATATACACTAGCAAAAACTTTAAAATGTGTTTTTTGACATGTTTTCAGTCTTTGTCCATGGAATCTTTGTGTAAATGTTTTCTTTGCTCAGTAGGAATTCACCCTAGAAATACCTATTATAGAGTTACTATTATTATTATTATTATTTTGACAGTAAAATCCAGATCCTCCTGTCACAGCTTCCAAAGTGCTAAAACTACAGTTGTATACTACCATTCCCTACGTAAAGCTTACCATTTACCTAATTAAGTACTATCATAAAACATGATAATATAGAATAGTAATTTTTATGTGAGTAGACTTAATTTAAAAGAATGCATCAGTTAGAAAAGAATTCTAACCCACTGATTTTTTATATGTAACTCAACCTGAGACTGCAAATATCTAATAAAGACTGTCTTGCCTGCTTCATCAGGAAGCAGCAAGTGTAGTGTACAAAGTCACCCACCTGTACCTTTGAGAAACTCATGATGTGAATGGATCTGTAGGCATACTCATCCTTGCTCTGATTGTTGAATGTATTCACAGCAAACTTCACTATGTCAGGATCACTGACTGGTTTATCAATGTAGGGTTCATCCTTTTCAGAACACCATGTTTGAGCTCCTTGGGCTTGGAAACCCAAGAGAACCAGCAAGACTGCCCAAGGCAGAGCCATCTTCCTAGCTGGACACGGTATGCTGTCAGTTTTGCTCTTATAGCCCTGCTCCCTGAGGTCTAAGCCTTCAAAGTTCATTTCCTGGGTCCCAAACTCCTCCCTCTGGGCCTCCCCTCTGTCATCACAATGACTTCCTTCCACACTTGGTACCACCTTCCCAAGCCAAAACTGTTCATTCACCTCCTATTCAGGAAGGAACAAAAGGGCCCAGGGGGTGGTTTGGGGAGAACAAGTGGACGGGGGAGAGGGAGGTAGAGGGGTACCCGATCAGAATCTAGATGCTTCCTGTGTCCCAATTGTTGGGAGATGTCATTCTGTGTATGTTTCTCATACTGGTTAATGAATAAAGCACCGTTGGACAATAGGAAAGCAAGATAGGTGGAACTAGGAGACAAGGAGGAAAGAGGAAGTAGGAAGGAGGAGTCAGCATGGAGAGTTTGGAGAAAGCAGAATGCCGGCCGGCTCCCCAGTAAGAGAAGACCATGTGAAAATACATAGGTCAGCAGAAATGGGTTAATACTTAAGACAGAGCTAGCTGATAAGAAACTAGTACCGGGCCAACAGCATTGTATCAAATACAGCGTCTCTGTGTGTTAATTGGGGCTGCAGCGGCAGCGGGACAAGAGCAGGCAGTGGGCGGAAAAACCTTACTCCTTACATATGGCGCCCACGTGGCTAATAAGAAGTTCCACTTAAAATTTAACAAAAGCTTAAAAAAGGGTTTTAGAAACAAAAGAACAGAGACAAGCAAGGTTTCTTGGTAGCATCATTTTTCTCAGTTGGACCCTGACTTTCGAGAGACAAGCAGATTGCCTGACTCCTTTAAGGGAGGTTCCTGACTTAGCATAAGCGGCAAAAAACCGCATGGCTTTAAAAAAGCACTGCTAACAATTTATTGGTGTGTATGAGAGCTGGCAATGGCAGTGACCAACATCTCCAAGCCGGCAGCATGCTTGCTGGATGGCAGCACAGACCAAGGCAATGACCACAGCTCTCAGTGCTGGCAGTAAAAATACCTGTCGCCATCTTTGATAGACCGCGGCTAACATAGCTATGATTTTCATTTTAGCAATGTTGTTTACCAGATAAAGACTCGTGGCCAGACAAAGATAAAGATTTACAGTAAAGACAGATTCACATTAAGAAAAAACACTAAAGGTTTACAGTGTGGTCTAAAATATACGTAGGCTTGGAAGAAAAAGAAAAAAATAAAATGGTTTTAAAAAGATAGAGAGGAACTGGGTGTGGTGGCACATGCCTTTAATCCCAGCACTCGGGAGACAGAGGCAAGCAGATCTCTGTGATTTCCAAGTAAACCTAGTATGCAGAGTGAATTCCAGGACAGATAAAAGTTACACAGAGAAACTCTGTCTCAAAAAATAAAAAAATAGAAGTTAAAGAAACAGAGTAATAAAAAAGCCACATAAAGATGGAGAGAATATGGATACTATATGGCATTATATTGTCTTTATATCGTTTGACTGCTGAGGAAACAACTGTTAAAGGAAATACTGCTGGATTAATTCAATTTATATATTTTAAAAATGCTTTGATTCAAAATTTTAAGTCTAAGGACAAGTTACTGGGGAAAAGGATTTCTATTTTTGTTTCCACAGAAAATGAAAAGCAGTGGATTCCTTCCAGACTAATGTGGCTTGATCAAGCCAGACCGCCTGAAACAGAGTACCAGGTGATCCTACATTCAAAACAGCTGGACAAAGCAGCCTTAGAGACTACAGCCAGGATTTCTGCATCTTCTTAGAATCCCCCATGACAGCGCCCCCTACCAGCAGGAAGCAGTTTGGAAAGACTGACACCCAAATTCCCAAATATTGTTTATAAATGTTTGTTTTCATTTATATAGGGTTGGTTATAAATGGCTAATGATCACAACCAATATATTTTTAAAGGTAAAAAGGGGATTATGGTATAGATATGACTACTTTGTTTTGGAATAGATTTTCATTTATTGATACAATTTAAGGTCAATTTTGTGATGTGTATATTTCTCCTCTTACTTAGGTATTGTGTTTATATAGCTCATTTAGAAATGTAATGTATAATGTAGTACAGATTATAGATAATTACCTTTGAGAATCAAAGCTTAGAGTTAAGTTAGTTAGGTTTTCTAGATACACAGAGATGTATTTGAGATAGATAGGCATTCTTCAAACCTTTCAAAGACCTACAGAATATGGCTTTTAAAATGGTTTAGGGTTTTTCTTGACAGTGAGACATAAATGCTCCTGGCAACACCACCTGCGTCAAAAAGGAAGATGGACCTTGAAGAAACTCGTTATGGAGTTTACTTTCAATATGGCAAGACTAGCCATTTGGACAATATACTGCTGTTGTCTGGACTGTTTGACTTTATGCTGTATAAACTGGACATGCAGGACCTACAGAAAAGTGACTGCTGATTCAAGATGGACATTGCTACAGAGTTCCTGCTTCATAGAAGAGTCTTCCAAACAGTCTGCAGGACACAGAGAAAAGTGACTGACAAACTGCCAATACAAGAAGACAGTTTAAAGTTTCCTGCTTTGCTGAAGAGTGTGCTTGACACACTATGGCCTATAGGCTGAAGATGGGAGATTACAAGAGAACGTCGGGTGACTGAACAGGCAGTGAGTTGTCTCTGTTGTTTCTAGAGTTTATATACTATCCTTCTGTGGTCTTTGAGGGAGTTGAAGACAAATAGTTATGGTTATAGTTTTCCTTAGTTAGGATTAAAGATAAGTTACATATAGGACTTTAGACTCACAAATATAGGATAGATGATGGAATATTTTCTTAAATCTTACTAAATGTTAATGGACTAAATATTGTTAACTGTGATTCTTATTTGATAACTATGGTGTGACATATTTTGCTATGTTAAGGTTAAAATCCTTTTTATTTTAGACAGAAAAGAGGAGACAATGGGAGATGTCATTCTGTATATGTTTCTCATACTGGTTTAATGAATAAAGCACAGTTGGCCAATAGGAAAGCAAGATAGGCAGGACTAGGGGACAAGGAAGTAGTAAGGAGGAGTCAAGATGGAGAGTCTGGAGAAAGCAGAATGCCTGCCGGCTCCCTGGTAGGCCCACTAGACTGGCGGTGGGAGGAAAAACCGTACTCCTCACACCCAATGTATAGAAGAGACTTCCCAAGGATGCTCCACAGTTAGGTGCTGATTTACCCTGGCGCTGGGTTTTAATGAAAGGTAATTTCTGGGCAGGCCACTGGACCAGATAATAACTCAAGAAATGACAGGTTAAAGATGTATGGGAAGAGTGAGCATTTTGTTAAGGGAAAATTGGAGCCGCTTAAATTGATGTCTATTTATCCTAGAGCTGCATCATGGCACAGGGGAGACAGCTGTCTCCACTCTTGGCTTGATATTCCTAAGGAATGCACCCCAGCATTCCCCTATCACTATCACATTGCCCCTATCACTTCACAGCCGGAACAGGCTTTCTGATGTAGCCTGGCATCAGATGGCACCTGGAAGACGGTGCCAACCTTGAGGCTTCCAAAGTTGAGAAATCCAGCCTCAGGTGCACTCCCTAAATCCAGTTTCTTAGCTCCAGGGTTGTGCAGCCCCACCGCACTGTGCTGGCCCTCTAGCTGGTTACGTCAGAGCAATCCCCTCATGGGGTTCTGCAGAGGGGTGGGCGTTTGCACCCAAAGTACAGGGACTAGAGAATGTGAAAAGGAAGAGGGAGATGAGGAGATGCCTCTGGGTTTTTAGGGATGCGCTCTTTCTGTGGCCACTGGTGCCCTCTTGTGGCTTTGATCATTACAGCTCAGGAAGTACAGTTTCTGGGTGGATGGTCACAGCCTCTAATGCCAGCAGCAAATTGGGCTGACACATCTGAACCACTCTCTTTTTAATAACCCCATGGTGAAGCATGTCTTTAGCCTGCATCTGTATCTAAGTGTAATGTCTGGAGACTGTGCCAGGTACTTCTGACTAACAGCATGTGTCCTTATTTCTACTGTTAGCCTGCTTCCATATCTACATGCAAAGCTTGGAGAATATGTTAGACACTTCTGACTCTAACCAGCATGTGACCACATTCCTGCTATGTCTGTTAAGGTCTGGGATGGCTTCCCTCTTTGTCTGGGCTATGATATCTCAAGACATAAGGATGAATATCACCTCTTTTCAAAAGCTCTTGTGACTCTCATTGTAAGAGTTCTGGCTCACAAAGCTATATATCCTCTGGGAAGGTAGCATCGGTTTTGTTTTGTTTTTTGTTTGTTTTCTTTTGTTTTGTTTTTCCTGGATGCATCAGTAGCAAAAAGGATCAGCAATGACTAAATGCAAATGGCCAGACCTTCTCCATGAAGGAAAAGGTGGCACCAGGAATTCTTTTTCAGGATGTGCTATGTGTGTCTTAGTGGCCTGCAGCTGGGTGCCTTTTCTTAGGTACTTTTAGCTATCATTTGTAGTCATATATAACTTCCAAGGGGATCAGAATCTCTTTAGAGAATAGGCTTTTGGGAACCTATTCCCCATACTGGGCTGCCTTGTCCAGTATTGATGCAAGGAGAGGGGCTTGGTCCTTCCTCAACTTAATGCACCATGCTTTGTTGACACCCAATGGAAATCTGCCCCTTTCTAAATGGAAACAGAGAAGGAGTGGATGGGGGAGTAGATGGGGAGCAGGGGGGGCAGAGGGAGCAGGAGGAGAAGAGAGGGGAAACTGTGGTCAGTATGTAAAACAAATGAAAAATTTTAATTAATTAAAAAACAAATGCTATCTCTCCATCTCAGGAGGGATATTCTAGGAAGGAATATGCTCTTCTCATGGGGTCCAGTGGGATGGTAGAATTCCTGGTTCCTGGACCACATTTCAAGAGTTTCAGAGCATATCTCTGGTCCAGTCTTACCAGCCTGGCTTGTGTTGCCCCATCCTCTTACCATCCCATTCCAGCTTTCCCATACTTGCTCCTGGTTCTGAGGTTCCTGAGAGGTGCCAGGATCACCTGATGTTTTTGGGCCTTGTACT